AAAAAAAAAAAAAAAACACTAAAAGGAGGATTTAGATGCTACCAAACATGTAGACGCAGCTCGTGAGAGATGAGAGAATCCAAGAGTACCAACTCTTGTGGCGTTCATACTTCAGAGAATAAATAGAGAAACAGACGGCGAGAAAGAAGAGAACATATGTCAAGTACTTCATTGCAATATCATCATATTCTTTAGTCTTGTTACTAGCATATGACTCACGGTCACAGAACCTCAGCCTAGGTATCACACCAGATCTATCAATCTGAAAAAATCAAAAGAATAAAGAGACTGTTCCAACACAACACTACCATAATAATAATAATAATAGTAGTAATAATAGTAATAATAATAATAGTAGTAATAATAGTAATAATAGTAATAGTAATAATAATAATAATAATAATAATAATAATAATAATAATAATAATAATAATAATAATAATAATAATAATAATTTGTGGAACTTCAACTCAAGAATTCAAAGTCATACCTCAATGTGCATGGCTCTTCCTATTTTCCAGAACTCAATGCAGCAGCCAATACCAGAGCTTGCAAGTATCATCCACGAAGTTCCATTGTCAAGCAGATAGAGGAAAACTATAAGCTGACAAAAGAAATTTACGACAACGGATTGTGCAGATAATCCCTCCATGGACTTGTTTTTATTCCAAAACTGAATATCTGCAAATAATGATAGGATATGGTATGGCTTCAAAAGTAGGTTCAAGAGGTAAAGTTCATCAAAGCTGCACATTATATGGTAATCGATGCCATTACCGTTCTTAAAAGCCAAAAAGTCGAACAAAGAGTGAAGTACTGAAACAACCATTGTAATTGCCAAAAGATAAGGATTTCCTTCCAGAAACACTCTCTGTTGAAAAGATCAAATAATGAGAAAACCACTTGAAATGCCACATACTAACCAAAAATACAGAAACATGAAATCTGGAATTAGGACATGATCGTACCTTAAGTTCGTCAGTTTCACCTTCGAGCATGCTCCCATAATTCCTATGAATCTGGAATGACTGGTCAATCTGTAGGTATAGCTGCCATTTGGTCATGCTGATGGGGCCAACCTCTAGATTCAGAGGCAATTCATTCACTGTCTCATTGACCGGTATTAACTTATCTCGAAGTAACCAAAAATCGTTGAAGAAGATGGTCGGGTAGTAGTTTCCGGTACTATTTTCAACGTTTAAGTCATAGAATGGTTGTTCAGCCAATCATGAGATTGTAGTGCATAAAAGAATAAAACCACTCAGCTGCATATACAGTGCATATATATTATAACGCAGGCACTTCCTAAATTCACTAGACAGCCATAGACGGACAGTAAGAAGCGACGAACCTTATCTAGCGAAGGTTATATGGAAAATTTTAGATTGGGGCCCTAACTATTACCACATGTCCTCATAAATAGGCATTTACAACAAAAGCTGAAAACACTGGAAAATAATTGTAAACACACATTTCCAGAAAATTATAGTTTTGATAGCCAGAACTTTAATCTTCTTCTCGTAAACCCATTTTGAACATACAACCGTAACAATGTGCTTGGGCATTGCACATATATATTATGCAACACGATTGTCACTCACAAAATAGTTAGGACTGTAAGCTCTACATGAAATAAATGGGCCTGTAGAATCAAACGGTATAAAGTTTCTCATATATCGAACTAGGAGAGGTCTCAATGAGTAGTATCAAATGCTACCACTATAATAACAGGCAAATAAATATATTTATAGAACTGCTACTTCATAATGGCTGAGAACTAAGAAGCACTGTCACTACATAGAAAATGAGTTAGTGTACCATGGTGAGGAACTTCATGAGGCATTTATTCAGCTGCCTTTGTAAACAAAATGTTCAGTATTCAAGCCAATCCTTCACGCATACCTTCATTCAACACAAGAGTTTTCTCCTCTTGGACATAGTTGTAAATGGCGAATGGCGAGGCGAGGCGATTGGCCCTTGGCCTCGCCACGAGGCGAGGCGATTCGCCATGGCGAGGCCTCGGCTACACATGTCACCAAAATGTAACAAAACAATATTATAGCTTGTGCAATTATATATTTATGTTCAAATGATAAAAATAACATCAAATATCTCCAAAAAAAGTCAAGAACACAAATGAAACACAAGTCAATAGCACAACCACACATAGAAATTGGCACACACATAGTTAAATACTAGAAATAAGCAACAAGTCCATAGCACAAACACTAAGAAAGTAGAAATAATACAAAAAGTTTTAAGTTTGGCACCCACATAGTTAAGTACTAAAAATAAGCAACAAAAGAGAAGCAATAAGAAAAATAATAAACAAACATATATAAATATTATATTTTCAATTAATTCCCACAAGTAAAGACAAATTTTTATCAAATTAATGGGTCCATTCTAAACAATTGATGCTATTCACACGCATCTAAATATAAATGCTCTGTCACATTTAATTTTTAAAACCCCTTTCTTCTCCCTCACAAATTCCACAATTAGTGTAACAGAAAAATAATAAACAAACATATACAAAAATGAAAAAACCCAAACTTTACCTGGGGATGGAGCGGCGCGGCAGGTCGAGCTCGCTAGAATTGAAGGTGAAAATCTTTTGCTTTTGTTTTTTCAATCCGATAAAATAAAACCCTTGGTCTGCCTCTATGCGTTTTAATTGTATTCGCTTTCCAAGGAGGCAGAGTTTTAATTTTAGTCGCTTTCCAAGGTTACACGTTTTCTTTAAAAAAAAAAAAAGTGGGTTGCGCCTTTATTTACTCTGAAAAGAGCCGAGGCGCGCCACACAATCGCCTCTCGCCATAAAAAAAGGCGAGCCGAGGCGACCCGAAGCGAGCGCCTCTTGAACATGGTCGCCTCAGGCAGTGGCGAGGCGATGTAGTCCTCGCCCCGGTCGCCTCGCCTCGAGGCGACGCCATGGCGTCGCCATTTTAAACTATGCTCTTGGAGAACAAGACATGTGAGAGAACCTAAACCACTCACAAGAATTTGAGAGAAACCACGATAATGACCATAATCATGTCACGCGTACAACTAGAGGAAAACCAAGGATACAAGGAGCAATATGTGGCGGAATTGCATTCTGTGAGTATCTGCAAAAGAACACAGTTAACAGTAAGCACTTTACGGGTCAAAAAGCCATGAGCTGAGAAATTTAAGAACCTCATAAACTAATGCATACACAGTAAACAAAAGTATATGTTACTCTATACATTCAATAACAACCACATCGCATTATGATTGAGCTTAATGCACGTAAGTTCTCGACACTTGCAGAAAAAGAGCTCCACATATAGTCACTCCCATAGAGACGTGAGCATTCATATGGACACTGAATCTTGTTTGAACAGTTTCCTGAGTGAGTTCCACTAGCAACAAATGAACCAACCGAGGACAGAACAAATGAAACCAAATCAGACTTAGCTTATGAATATTAGCATTGTGATTCTCAATGCCCTACCACCTCTGTTCATACAGAACTTTACAGTGAGTTATTTACAGGGAAGTTCTTCAAAAATCTACATAACAGCACCTTCCCATTTACAGAGATCAATATCATATGTTTCCCAGTCATTTATTACTAGATAAAGGAAACAACACAGCAGTCACGTCACTATCATAATACCGAAAACACTTGATTTTCTCAACCAGATAACAGATTATACAGGTGCAAAGGAGCAGGACCTACATGGACAAGAAAATAAAGCAATTTATATTCATCTCACTCCCATTGTCTCAGCCAATCTCCCCAACCCAAAAAAATTCTGCAGCCAGTATGTTCTTAAATTTGTGAAAAGCACATCTTCTAGTCCAGAAATTTAAAGTGTGCCCACATCAGTCTCACCCAATGTGTTCGGTCAACAAATGCTTGAATGGATTTTCACTTCACAACATTAGATTGGCGACAGCGAAATTATAAAATGCTTGGGAGTAGAAAGAACAATAACATACACTTTTACATCAACTTAGATGGAACTGTGGATGGTATCATCGATAACACCAAAATAAGTGACTCATAATCATCTAAAATATGTTTATGCAAAATTGTACCTGGTAAAATCATCAACTAGATTTATGGTAACATTAGGTTTCCAATATGACATCCATTCAACTGGTCCATCCTCTTTGTCATCATCATTAGAATCATTGGGTACCTGAAGCAATATCAGTTTATACTTTAAAAAATAAATGAAGAACTGTAGTGCCAAATACTTTTTACACTACACAAAAGAGCTCACAGAAAACAAAAATAAAATAAATCACCAAAATATCTCAACGTTCAATAAGAAGTAAAAAGAAGCCAAATATAAATTTAAAGCACAAGGATTAAAGAACAATTAAGACTAGATACCTCGGTGGCCTTTTCATCAACTACAGCGTCCTTGGAGTTCCCTAAAAGACTCTTCTTCTTGTCAGCCCTCTTCGGCAAATATGTCACCAAAGCTATACAAAACAAAAAAACACCATAGCGTTTAGAGGCTAAGTCAACAAAACCAATCAATTATATCATAATAATATAAATTCTCACGGTGGGTTCTCCCAAATGCAGCCAACGGTTGGAACTCAGGGTCCTTGGGGTCTGGCGGATAGCCAGACCTAGCAAAGAAAACATGAGCATAAAGACTCCCATTGTGCTTTAAAGCCTAAAAATCAGACGAAGTACTTCATGGTTAACTTTCCAGGGCAACAATTGAACAGAAGACAGTAACGGACATAATGCAAAACGTAAAACAAAAGCACAAATTTATTAGAAAGAAACAACTATGAAAAGAAATAAAATCATCGACACAATAATCACCACCTCAGAAGGATAATACTTCAAGGATAGAGTTCTGGTACTATCTGCTGTCCAAACAGCATAAGGTATGTTGTCTCCTGCCAGACAAGGGCTCCCTCACTGCCGAAGTCATTAAATTTCTCCTGCTCAGAAAAATACAACCACATATCCGGGAAAGAAATACAATATGTTTTCAAGTTTAGAGAGAGACAACACTATCGGAATCAATGAATACTTGTCACGTGCTAAAAATGGAAGATGAGGGCCCAAATGTCAGCTACAGTAGACTCATCATAGAACCAAGTTATGGTCATCAACCTTGGGGAGGGTGGTAGACATGAAATTGTTTACTTGTTTATATAATTACAAAAAATAAATATTAGATCATCTTTATTTCAACCCAAACTCATCCTATAGGTCTATTTTTTCTTCTCAGATCCTGGCAGATATTATTCCCACCTGGGGTTGAACCCATGCTGTGGCTCAGGTGCACTTTTGTACTTCATGATTCTAGCTCAACCTTCAAGCCATCTAATGAGGCTTACTGGAGTTTAATCTATTTATTTTCTAAGTTCCGTTGATGCAACAAAACACTAAAACTTTCAATAAACTTTTGTAAATAACTTTGGCAATTGTTTTTGCATTACCCTACTCCAGTTATCGGTCTTCTTCTCCAATGACTTTTCTCGTCCTAGTTAGTTTTAGTCGCCCATAAGACGCTACTTTGAAGGGTGTATCATGCATGACTGCAAATGTCTATGGATTGAGCTGGAACTGTGAAAAGGTTAAAAGTTTTCGTATTAAAAGTAACATGGGTGTTGAGTTAATGCATACATGTGTAAAGTTACTTATGTTTAATACCAAACCTAACTCCAGAGCAAAAATAATATAAAAACATCACGAAGAATAGATTTTCGCCATGTCCGCATCCGAAGCGTGAAAATCTGACACATAGGCTCAACACGTTTTGAATTAACATATAAGGAGGGATTAACTCTATTTTTATGTTACTAGCACAGGCTCCCATTTTTATTAAATTTATGGAGTTCCCCACCGGTCTCATCACAACTCGTATAATCACACACATTTATGTTTCATGCAAATCTCATAAATAATTGAACTCATCTGACTGAAAATAATCAAAGACTTTCATGGGGAATTCCAAAGTTCTCGTGAGCCACCTCTTGTATCAGGCTGGTTTAAAAGGTACATAAATAAACTAATGGCCTGCACTAAGCTCCTGAATATGATACAACAACAAACAAATGATCCTATCATGCAAAAACTACCATCTATCGTGCATACGAGAATCATACTTTTCAAATAAAAAATCGACCTTTCAAGGTAACAATCATTTTTTAAAATAAAAAACCTTAATTTCGAGGTGAAACTTTTCAAAATAGTGCAAGTTTCTATGACAAATACAACATTTCATAGAACTAAACACACTGAAAGTATGACTTTTTCATCAAATGAACTGCTTTTCATGCTGAAAATCAGAACAACGTCAGCAAACACAAAGCAAGATTTCGATCTTTCTACAAAAGCCACAAGCAATAATCTTACTCCTGCGGCATTAGTTTCAACATATGTATGTTAATCTATGTCCTCAATCTGCCCTTTCCAATCACATGCCCATAACACATGCAAACACCATATAAGTATATGAATTGCAAAAATTACACACCAAATGAAATACCACATGCATATGAAGCTTCAAGTTTCACAAATTTACGGACCAGAGGTTCCCCCTTGTGAAATAGATTGGAGATCTGGTGAGAGGATTGCGGCGGCGGTCGCTTGGGTCCGAAGAATTTGGACGCAAAGTACCAGAACACCGCCACCCTAATTATCCCCGTCAACATACTCCCCGCGCCCTGCTGTTGCTGCTGCTGGCGCCTTGTTCCGCCTCCGCCGCCGTCACCAACTGTCGCCGGCGGCTCCATATTCCCTGTTCGTGCGTAGACCAAAGAGTTAACAGGGTCCTACGAGTTTGTGATTCGATTTATAACGCCAAAATCGTCGGA